TTTTAATATATAAAGAATAAATATATAAATAAAAAAATTAATTAAAAAAAAATAATTAATAAGGGCACAATAGTTTTTTTAGGTAAGACATAGACCAAACGCATAACAAAAATAAACAGTATGGATCATCCGAGTTAAAAAATTAATTAATTAAAAAATAAACAGTAGGGATCATCCGAGGAGATACAGATATGTGGGGTCTATTAATTTTTTTTAAATATATAAAAATAAATACATAAATAAGAAAATTAATTAAAAAATAAATTAATAAGGGCACAATAGTCTTTTTAGGTAAGACGATGACCAAACGCGCAACAAAAATAAATAGTAGGGACAATCCGAGTTAAAAAATAAGTTAGGGACCAAAAAACACAAATTCCTCCAAACCACATGACCATTCGTGTAATTTACTCTTACTTTTCGTTTTGTTCATATTTGGGTAACTATTTTTTTTATACACATCTAGGTAACGAACTTGTCAAAAGTGTTGACATCTAGGATGTAACCTGCTACAGCAGGTCATAATGGTCATATGAGAACACTTCCAACAAGTTTGTTACCTAGATGTGTACAAAAAAAGATAGTTATCCAGATGTGAACATCCCGAAAAGTTAATTACATTGATAAGTCATTTGCCCTAATAAAATTCATCATAGATAGATATATAGTCATTATGGGCATTTACGTAATTTCACCCCATATTCGAAACACAAAAAACGTTATTCCTAACTAGCTAGTAAAATTCATTGTTTGACACCATCTTTTGAATTTATGATTTTTCAATATATTATACACTTCAACATTAGTTTTAAAATTGAAAATAGTTTGTCTGATATTTGGCATTTATGTCCATCATCTAATTAATGAAAATATATACTTTTATAGTGTTGATTAGCATGTTGTACAAAAAATTCAAATAATGGATATTTCCATACATGTGTATAAGCATATCTTTATGATCATATATCTACGTGAAGTTATCCTCAATTATAATTCACTGTTAATATCCATTATTAGATAAATCCTTCAAAATTCAAATAATCAAATACTTATTAGATATTATAATATTTAATTAAGGCTAAACGGTATTATAAAAAATTCACCGGAGGTGTGCTGATGTGGACGGTTTACCGCCAGTAAACACCGGGCCGCAACATCTCTTTTACCACTGGTATAATACTGGCGGTGGGTTTCTACCGGGGTGAAATGTTTGAAAATATGTTGTTGGAAGGAAATGAACATTGCCAACGGATAGTTTTGCATTTTTTTTAAACAAATTTACTATTATATATCTATATATATAACTATATATATATATATATATCTATATATATATATATATCTATATCTATATATATGCTTCGGTTTTTCTATTCAAAGTAATTATTGTGTTATTGTATGCATAAATGTGGGCCATCATTTTGGTAAATTCCGAACATGATTCTTGTGTATTGTATGTCTAAATCGGTAACATTCACTTTCTTACTTTACAAAAATTACTAATTAGGCAACACAAGTTTAATTAATAAAACGTTTGAATTTTCAGCTATCTATTGATTTTCTTAATTTTGCCTTTTCATTTTTTTAATTAATTAGCTTATCGTTCTAATATAACTTTTGTTAGAATGATCTTCTATGCGATGTCAGATTATCTCTTCTGACAAAATAATGTTTGAATTAATGAATATTTTGAAGACAAGCAATAGTTTTGAACAATCAGTTTAAAAATAACTTTAAAAACTTCTTGGAGAATAACCAGTGGCGGATCTTAATAGAGGCCGGGGGGGCCATGGCCTCCCCGATTTTAAGCCTAATACCTTACATATATAGTTTTATTTTAAAACAATTAAATCCATTGTCATTATATTTGTTAATTTGGCCCCCCTGTTAGAGTTACAAAATTTAGTTATGAACCATCAAAATCATCCGAAAATCACTGATGAAATCAAAAATAAAATCTTTGATAAAATAACTAATAGAATCAAAAGAATCGTATTACAGTAGGAAACTCATACAACTAAGAAACTTTTTTTTAAACTCTATAAAACAAAATCAAAGTATAAAATTATTAACTCAAGATTTGAGTTTAAGAAAATAAGAAAGATCCTGAAATTTCGAAGCCGGAAACATCCATCTCACCAGAATAACGCTGTTGACCAAGTGCATTCAATAACTTGTATTTTATTACAAAATATTGATATTTGCTGTAATATATTTGTTGGTTGTAATTTTATTTTTAGTTATATTTTGTTATTTAAATTGTTTATGTTGCATATATCAACATGAAAAAAAAAAACAATCAACTTAATGTGTTTTAAAAAAAAACGTGTCAATACTACTCAAGATCCCAAAAAATGAAAATTACAAATTTAAAGAGTGATATAACAATATTTGTTATTAATTTTCTTGTTTCGAATTTTGATATGTTATAATTTTGAAACAATTTTTTTTACATGGTTTTGTTTTGAAATTTTAATTTCGCCCCCCTAGTTATTGTGTTTGTGTTCCGCCCCTGCAGAATAACAAATTCTTGAACCATCAATTGAAGAATAAAAACAAACATTACATTAATTCTTATAGAATACGGGTAAACAATTGCTAAGAATTACATTTATTGTTAAAGATAAAACTAAAAAAACTTTCAAATCGGGAAAGAAAACATCAAAATCTAACAACGACTAATACATTCTAAAAGAATAATGTGGTCCGTTTCAATTTTGTGGTCCGTTCTTCAAGCATCAACTTCTGTGATTCCAACAGAATTGGAATTCGTGATTCCATTCCAACAGAATTAGAATTCGTATCTTACCTAACCAATTGCAAATAAAATCATATTCCCCAGCATAAACAAGCATCTGAATACAATCTTCCAAAAGCACTGGAATCCCAACTTCAAGGTTTCTCATAATGTCTTCCTTCATTGCTCGATACACCTCACCATTACACGCCCCAAAGTGTATTTCCTCTGGTACCCTAATGCCTTTTTCACTGATTCCAAGTTCAAGAATTCATCTATCTTTGACAAGTCATCACATCTTTGCTTCCTCAAATCATAAGGCTGTTATACAACAATTGTTTCTATTACATATGATTACACTTCCAGTTATGATTGTAGGATATATACAACATTAACGAAAATATAACAAGCTTAAATAATGAACATTACCGCATTTGTTTGCTGCTTTTCACACTTTGGTACTATTGAATCAATTCATTGTAATATTTTTTTGTAATTAACTGATTTTCCAAAGCGAAATCAACATCCGCCTTGAATTTGATTCCAGGTTCAGTGAGTCCGTTTCCAATTGCAAATCCCTATCCAGTTAATCACAATTCCATGAGCAAAATTGAAAATCTTAAAAGTGATAGAAGATTGTAATCAACACCACCTGCAAAGGCGTCCCACGTGAACCCCATCAATAAAGTAAATAAAGGCGTTTGTAGAACTGAATATTCATAGCGAATTCTACTTTCCATTGTAAGCTAGGTGGGCAAGCACTTTTTTTCTTTGAGAAAAAGTGGCGAAGCATTGAAAATCGATTTCAGATTTCAACTTCAGTTTCAGAAAAATCGATTTCATAGATTGAGCAGAGAAACTTACTAATTTTCTGGAGGAGAGGCGGCGTTGGCGGAAAGGCAGCGACTGTCGCTAGAGAGAAACGTCGATCCCCAAATAAAGGGAAAAAACACGAGTATGTTACATGTTGAAGATGAACGATGGTGGTTGATGGTTCGGTGGCGATGGTGGCTCGGTGGTGGCTGATGGTGTTGGTCGGCGAACGGGCAGCTCCAGCCTCTTATCTCTTCATCATCGGCATCGGTTAGGTTGAAAAAGAAGGGATGGATCGGTGATAAAGAAGCAGTAACGGTTTCAAGGGATTTAAAGGAAAGCAATCCAATATTTTAGGGATTAATTAAATTTTTATTTAATTAACAAAATTAATTAATAGGTAAGATTATATATCCTTATTTAAGTTTTTGAAATGATTGCCCACATTTATGCATACAATAACACAATACTTACTTTAAACACCTGAATCTATCTATCTCTCTCTCTCTCTCTCTCTCTATATATATATATATATATATATATATATATATATATATATATATATATATATACCATTCTTCCAACACATTACCAATTTACACACTTTTTACACATTTTTTAATCAAAATGTCTTCCAACAATTCAAACTCTTCCAATCACAATGCTCCAAACCAAAATGTTTCCAACGCGTTCGTACTTTTCAGTTATGATCCGACATCACCACCAACTTACCGGCCATAAATGGATAGGGTTCCTAGCTATTATTCACAATTCCAAATGCCACAACAATTCTAATTTCAATCCCAACCATCCCAAACCCAATTCCAATTTCAATCCCAACCGTCTTTCACACCTTCAACCAAAATTCTTTCCGATTCCAAACACGAAGAAGAACAACCTCAACAAAAAAAAGTAAAGGCCGATCCGAGAAGATGGACACAAAAAGAAGTAACCGGGTTAGCAAAGGCATGGGTCGACATATCCGAAGATGGCGGCATGGGAAAGGGTCAATCGCATGATCAATTTTAGTTATGTATTACAAAGCGGTTTTGTAAGGGAATGGGTCAAGATCCAGATTACCGGGCGTCCGACCAATCTAAATCGAAATGGAATCTTGTTAACAAACTCGTGACACATTGAAACGGAATTTACACAAACTTTGAAAGCAATGGGCTAGCAGAGAAAGTGAGGCGTGTTTGTTGAAAAAAACGAATGCTACATTCCAAGATGACATGCTAAGGCCTTTTAAGTTTATTCATATATGAGAAGTTGTCAAAAAAAGCGTTAGGTGGAGGAAACTTGCAACACATGAAGAAATTGCTAATCCGCCAAAAAAAGCCGAACATCTTCATATTCGAGCTCACAACAAGTTTCATCGGATGGTCACGTATGCGTTAATCTTAATAATGATAACGACGACATCGAAGAAATACGTCCGCCTCCTCGTCCCATGAGAATGGACAACACAAAAGCTCAAACAAGAGGAAAAGGGAAAGCGACATCTTCAAATTCGTCGGTCGGAATCGAGCGGTCAGCTAGGTGGGAGGAAATGGTGGCACAAATGGCACAATTGAGTACAACTTTGGAGAAACATATGTCAGAAACGGTCGGACTCACAGAATATTCGTTGTTGATGCAAGATGTGAGGCACCTGGACCCCGAAGATCAGGAGGCGGCTAAAGTTGTGAAGGCTTCGATTCGTGAAAAATATAAGCTCAATCACAATTGAAATTTGGCTTTTATGTTTTTTTTCTAGGTTTTTTTCTTTATGTTTCACTTCATGTTTTTTTTTTATTTTTTTATTTTTTTTTAGGTTTTTAATGTAATTTTTAATTTCATGTAATTTTTAATTTTTAGAATTTCTAAAATGTAATTTTTAATTTTATGTTATTTTATAATTTTAGTATGGTTTTTATTAAAAAAAATTGAAATTAAAAAAAAAGTTCATAGGTAAAATCATTATCACACCCTAGTTCGTTGGTAAAATTTGTAAAAAATATAAAAACTGATATGGCGCCTAGGTGACACCCTTTTACCATTAGCGAAAAAATACACCACACCCTTTAGCTTAACAGGTGAAAACAAAACTGGCATATTTAACTAGTTATTAAAAGAAATATTTTATTTATAAGGAACTGGAAAAGTAAATGTTAACAAGCTAGGAACATTTTGATTTTCTGTAAATACTAGCTAGACATCATATTATTAAATAAAAAATTATGTAATATCGGGTTGACTAAATTGTATTTTATTAATAATAAATTAAATACAGTTGTATTTGAAAAGGAAGCGGATTACAGTTTGTTTACATGATAATAAATTAATGTTTTTAAAAGATTAAATTTTATTTAATAATATTTTAATTGTGTATAGTAAAACTGTCCACTAAAATAGGAAAAAGATAGAATTTGAAAAGAAGAATTTGAAGTTCGAAAGAAGTCTATCTCCTGAATACTACAACAGAAACCATTCTTCTATTTAATCTCTCATTCTCTCTCTAATCATCACAAACAACCAATCATGAAAACAAGAAAGCTTTCACTCCGTGATGAAGATTTTCCTGATCAATCTGAATCCATGGCGTCAAGAACTCGTCCCCGCCTTGAAATCGAGCCAATACAGATCGGCATTCAAATGGCATCGCCACCTCCGCCGTCACCACCACCGCCGCTCACCGAAAATCAAGACTTGAATATCCACACCGACCTTCGACTGTGTTTCTACTTCGAACCATCAACTCCGGCATCGGAACAACCTCAACAACCACAACAACCACCGCTGTTCCCACCACCACCGCCGCTTAACGAAAACCAAGAATTCAATATCCAGAAAGACCTTAGAATGCGCGTCTACTTCCCACAATCTACACCGGAGCCGGAGCAACCACCACCACCACAACCTGATGATAACCGTCACGAACTCCCCTCAACCCACGTCCCACAACCGCAATCGGTAGTAGTCGCACCACCTGCCACACGTCGCCAACGTAGAAACCCTACACATGCACCACGACAAGGTAAACCTCCAACCATCCAACCGCCTTTCCCATGGGCAACCGACCGCCGTGCTCAAGTACACAGCCTGAAATACCTAACTGAAATCGGCATCACCACCATCTCCGGCGACGTCCATTGCAAGCGTTGTGATGAAAGCTACCAAATCGAATACAATCTCGTTCAAAAGTTCTCGGAAGTCTCTCATTACGTGGCGGAGAACAAGTACCGTTTCCGTGAACGAGCTCCGGCGACATGGATGAATCCAACGTTACCGACATGCAAGTTATGTCATCAGGAAAACAGCGTGAAGCCGAAGATGGCTGAGAAGAAGAAGTCTGTGAACTGGTTGTTCTTGCTTTTGGGACAGATGCTTGGATGCTGTACGTTGGATCAGTTGAAGTATTTCTGTAAACACACTGGACACCATCGAACTGGTGCGAAAGATAGGGTTCTGTTCTTGACGTATTTAGGGTTATGCAAACAAGTTGATCCAGATGGACCTTTCGATCGTGGCGAAACAGTGAATGGTTATTATTCGTAAGTTTCAGTAATTATAATTAGTTTTCTTTTTGGATCTTTAATGGAGATATATACAAAGAATGATTGTTTATCATTCTTTTGGTTTTCCTAAAAATTGTTATTACTTATTATCTTTATCTGATCTGATTTCTGAACTTGTGATCAGCCATTTTACGAAAACTTAGCTAATTTCAAATTCAGATAGTCGTAAATAACTCTTATTTGTTGGGTTTGGGTTGATTTGAAAAAAAGGCGGGAACTTGGTCTTTTAATCTTGTTGACTGTTAAATAATTAGATTTTTTGTTGCCAATAAAATAAAATATATATTTTTAGAAGCAAATTATTATCTTTATTAATCATAATTAACAAGCCATTAATTTTATCGTGATACACTTTAAGGTCGGTCCTTAACCTAAATTCGGGCCTAAATTGTAATTACGCTCCGACCCAATAATATTAGTCATGTGTATGGGCCCAAGTGTTTTGTCTCTAAATAAAATCTATATAATAAGGTATCTCATAGTATCATATAATTTTACAAAAATACAATATTATTCGTAAAAATATAAGACATGTTAGAATCTATATTTTTTTTTTTCAAATTTATCATGAAACCTAAAGAGTAATGAGAATTTTTATATAATAATGTTTAATTGAAAGAATATTTAATAAGGTCGCGTATTTTTAACTATATATTTGAAATAAAATGAATTAAATACTTAATGAGGGCCTTGAAATTAAAAGGATTGTTTCTTTTTTATTTAATGAGCTTAACTTGATGGGTTAAATATACAAGTACTTGTTTCTTCTTATTATTATTTGAATTAATAGGAGTATAATGACTTAATATATTAACCTAAACGAGCAATTTGCAATTTGAAAAAATTTGGGGTTTTTCGGTTTGGGTTCCGGTTTTTTCAATTCTGATAACAAGCTTAAGAACAACTTCATATGGGTAACGTGAAGTGTATGCAGCCATAGAGACCAACTCACTACAATAATAAATCTGAAAGCAAAAATGATGTAAAATAATGCCAATTCTAGCTACTACACAAACAACTGCTTATAAAGATGAAAGTAAAATATAGCAAATAACCGGTGATTGTTGAAAAATAACATGTCATTATGGTTATCATACTTACTATTTTGTAATGTTTTATTGTGCTGGGTATAATATGATAATAATATTATATGTAAATTGGATGTTTGTTAATAAATTAAGTCATTACTGGGATATGACCGCTTCTGTGCAATGAGTTTAAAATTTTATCACGAAAAAAAAAACTACCATGAAGGATTATTAGTTAAAACTGAAAAAAGTTTTAGTCTTTTAAAGCATTATCGTCCTAAAAATTAAATGCATTTTAGAAATTAAGATCAAGCCAGACGTGTTTAAAACTTCTAGCCGTATTCAGCATCTTAAAGTTCTCTTATAAAAGTTTATCATAATAGTTATTTTTAGTAAAGTTATAATGTTTTCTAAATGTTACACAATTAAACAATATAAAAGATTAACATCAATAATAATATAAAAGATTAACATCGATGTGATCTCTTCCAACAAATTGTTGGTTTAATCAATTTGGCAAAACAAATTATTTGAACATCAAAACCAATTATTTGATGACATTGAAAATGTTTTTCAAAGTAGAGGGCTATAATAGGAAAATACTAAAAGTGGAATGCTAAAACATATTCAATGTGATCACGCTTACTAATATCGTTGCAAATACATCAAATTGTATATATGGGTAAATGCAAGAAATAACAATCTACTTTTATTTAATGGTAAATCATAGCAACATACTTAAGAAAATCATTAATGATTATTATTGTCTTATTTTCTAAAAATAAAACGAACTATAACTTTTTCTTTCTTAGTATCCGGCTAATGTTACCACATGTATAATTTACTTTTAAACCCATGACTTTTTTTTTAGATAATTAAACACATCTACCAAGAAAATCATATTTCAATTAGCCAATTTTAAGATCATAATCATAGAAAAAATTACATAATTGATATTATGTTTTTTAGTTTTATGTTCAAGTTTTTTGTCGCTCTATCCAAAAGTTTTATACTCAAGAGATTGAAGGGGAAGGTCTTGATACAAAGCTTCTTCATCTTTCTTTTGGCCTGATCACCAAAAACAGCACATAGATTTAAAAATGTAAAATAATACAAGCTACTAACAAATTTAAAACAGAACATGATCGTTACCTTAAGCCAATCAACTTCCATGGGGTTTTTATCATCCTGAAGCTTTTCTTGCCACACAAAACAGGAGAAAAGGGCGATCATTCTTCTTTATTTTGATATTGTCTGCAACATAAGTACATTTCCTTACATGTAATATAAACATAAAGAAATTAGTTTTATATTCTATATTAACAGTTAAGTATTAGTTGAGGATAATTATCAAACAGTTGCTGTGCATCCCATGCCTCATGTCTACTACTCACCTTTCAGCACTGAAACCATCCATAAATTGCTTCACCAGGATTGCTAAATCTGAAATGTTGCTCGTTTTGAACTGCATCTTTGTAGATCTGTTTCCCTAAAACCAAACACATACCTGACCATTGTTTTAGATCTGAAACACAAAACATGGATCTAAGTACACCATTTAAAGGTTTAGACACATAGTTAAACACATACACATAGTTAGAGAAAGGGTTTAGTAAAGTGTCGATCAATTTTATTGTATTGTATTAGGTTACATACAATCAACATATATAGCTTTAGATATTACACATTGATATCCTCTATTCTATAATATATCTAATTGTGTCTAATACGCCCCCGCAAGCTAAGGGCGGGGAACGACCTGCAGCTTGGAGCTTAGTTGTATGAATCTTGGAGTTGGCAGTGGCTTTGTGAAGATGTCGGCTATTTGATCATGTGTAGAGATGAGCCAGACTTGGAGATCTTTATTTGCAACATTTTCTCTGACAAAGTGGAAGTCAACTTCCACATGCTTTGTGCGCGCATGAAACACCGGATTAGCTGAGAGATAAGTCGCCCCAAGGTTATCATAAGACCGGGGGTTTAGAGTAGTTAACACCAAGTTCTCGAACAAGAGATTGAAGCCAGGTGAGCTCAACAACCGTGTCAGCAAGCGCCTTGTATTCTGACCCTGTTGAAGATCTAGATACGGTTCGTTGTTTCCATGCGGTCCAAGATATTAAATTGGAACCAAGATATATTGCAAATCCCCCCGTGGACTGACGGTCATCTGGGCAACCGGCTCAATCAGCATCCAAAAAGGCAGTTAAGGTATCTTGTTAAGGTATCCTTGCCGAACAGAGTCGGTAAAATATTGTAGTTGAGTGCTTGAGGTTTGGCGAATAAGCATGTCATGATCAACAGTGCCATGAAGGTAGCGAAGAAGCCGCTTGACAGCAGACCAATGGTTATCAGTCGGAGCATGCATGAACTGACATACCTTGTTGACTGCAAAGGTAATGTCCGGCCTGGATAAGGTCACATACTGAAGGGCTCCAACAACTTAGCGATACCGTACCGGATCGGAGAAGAGAAGGTTGTCACTATCAGAGGGCTAGAGGTGTTCATCAGAGATGGAGTCGGCTTAGATTCTGACAAACCAGCCTTTTGGAGAAATTCCAAAATGTATTTTCGTTGAGAGGATGATGTCAGACCCTCCTGGAACAATTTCAATGCCTAGAAAATATGATAGAGAGTCGAGATCTTTGATAGCAAACGTGGTAGCAAGTTGTTGAATGACTTTATTAATAAGAGCGGTAGTGTTACCCATGAGAATGAGATCATCAACGTAAACCAGCATGTATAAAGTTGGACTGGCATGAGAATAGATGAACAGGGAAGGATCGGTCTTGGACCCTTTGAAGCCGAGAAGATGGATGATGTGTGTAAGGCGATGAAACCAGACCTAGGAGCTTGCTTGAGGCCATAGATAGATTTGTGGAGTAGGCACATGTGGTTCGGATGTTGTGTATCAACATCCGAACCAGCATGTATAAAGTTGGACTGGCATGAGAATAGATGAACAGGGAAGGATCGGTCTTGGACCCTTTGAAGCCGAGAAGATGGATGATGTGTGTAAGGCGATGAAACCAGACCTAGGAGCTTGCTTGAGGCCATAGATAGATTTGTGGAGTAGGCACATGTGGTTCGGATGTTGTGTATCAACAAATCCAGGAGGTTGTTTCATATATATTGTTTCTTCCAGATTGCCATGTAAGAAGGCATTTTGAACATCTAGTTGTCGAAAAAAAAGTTGTGTGATAGCAAGAGAGAGTACAACTCGGATGTTGGTTGAATTGACTACAGGGCTGAACGTCTCATGGTAATCTATCCCTAGTTGCTGACGAAATCCCTTTGCAACGAACCGTGCTTTGTAGCGAGTGATGGCGCCATCGTTGTCACGTTTTAACCTGTAAACCCACTTACAATTAATAATGTTAGTATTTGGTATCGGAGGTACCAGGGATCATGTGCCATTTTTTTGTAAGGCATTGTATTCTTCTTCTATGGCTTTGCGTCACTCAGGTGATTTGTTGGCAACCGAAAAAGACGTGGTTTTAGTGGGTTCAGTGGTAGTAGTGATAAAATGATGAGCATTAGGCTAATAAGGAACTCGTTGTTTTGGGTTTTGGCGGAGATTTGATGGTCTAGTACGAGGTGGGTTAGGTGGGGCTGGGGTTGGAGTCGGTGTTGGTTGCGGAGTGGAGACCGACGGCGGTGAGGTACCGGGTGTGGAGGTGGTGTCGGTTACAGGAGATGTACCAAGGGGAAAGGAGGATTCGTCGAAAAGAACGTGTCGGGAAAGATATATCCGATCGGTGGAGAGATCAAGGCATCGGTAACCATGATGGAATGGGCTGTAGCCAAGCAAAAGACAAGGAGTGGACCGGAAATCCATTTTATGACTGTTATAAGGGCGAAGATATGGAAAGCATAAGCAACCAAATACCTTTAGAAATGAGTAGTCGGGAGGTCTTTGAAAGACGAGTTGAAATGGTGATATGTTCGTAGAGGT